CTCAGGCGGGGTGGGGGAGGGGCAGAGGCAAACGAGGCATCCAGAGCCCAGGGGAAAATGCTCAGAAAGCGGGGGGAAGGGGCAGGGAGGGGGTCCCCAAGGACAGGGTGGGTAGAGGCAAGGTTTTTGGGGGGATGGGGAGAGGAACAGAGGGGCACGGAGTGTGGGGAACGCGCAAAAGGCACCCGAGTTGCAGGAGCTCAGGAGGGCTTCACCTTTCGGTGGCCATCTTGAAAGGATCCAGAGCCCAGGGGAAAATGCTCAGAAAGCGGGGGGAAGGGGCAGGGAGGGGGTCCCCAAGGACAGGGTGGGTAGAGGCAAGGTTTTTGGGGGGATGGGGAGAGGAACAGAGGGGCACGGAGTGTGGGGAACGCGCAAAAGGCACCCGAGTTGCAGGAGCTCAGGAGGGCTTCACCTTTCGGTGGCCATCTTGAAAGGAAGAAAAGAAAGAAAGGTCTAACAGACTTGTATCTCAGTATGCATCTACATACTCAGGCTTTGCAAGCCATAGATCATCAAGTAGCAGAGGGGTTGGCTACATACAGCCTCTGGACCAGACATCTGACCAGGCCCATGGACATGGGACATGCAGGGTCTTTCAGCAGAAACGGCTTTTCCATTCCACTATGGGGAAAAGCAACAATGGCAGCTGGGCCCTACCACCTGCCTGCCCAAACTGGATCAATCCAGCCAACAGACTTAAAAGACTGCTGACCACTGAAGCAGCAGCTTGAATCAGTCTCCTTTTCCTTCCTTAATGAATTCATTTGCCTTAGTGCAGAAGACTTTTAACAAGTAACAATTCAGTTCATTTTTCAGTAACAGTTCAGTTACCTTCTGAAAAAGGTACAGACCATCTGGCCACAGCTGCTCAACACTGCAGTTCCCAATAGTGGCACTTTTCAATGGTAAGAATTGAGAAATAGAGTGAAGTGACACACACATCATTGAAACAAACCATGGATGACAGAGAAAGAGACGTATGTTATTTTAACTTTTATGAAACAAAAAATAGGGTCAGAAAATGAAAGAGAGGTAAAGTAACACCTCAAAACAAGAGAACGCCACAGCAAACAGTTCATCCTGACAAAGTCTAAAGAAAGAAAGGAAAATCAAGAAGATACATTTTGGAATATGAAATGTTAAAATAAAGAGGCGACATTAATTTTTAGTATACTTTTTCTTTAAGCATATTCTCTTCAGTCAAGATACTAATACTTAGGTCATGTGTTACAAATATATAATGTATATTATATGTAGCCACATATAACATGGCAATAAAAATGAAAGAGAGAGCTTATGGTAAATATTTAAAATTAATGTAATTCTTCACTAATAAAATAACTTTTTTAACCATAACACTGAGAAGATGACTGGACCACATAACAAGATGAACAGCAGACTATTTTCTTTTAGAAATAATGACTAATTCAAGTTAATATTTTTAGTAATAAATTATAAATGGTGGCTTCCCATCACAAGACAGCAAACCAAAGCCTGTAATTCATTAAGGTAATTCCTAATAACTGTAAATAAAAAAAAAATTTTAAGTTTCATTTTATGAGTCAGCTGACTATCAGAAATTAACTGAAAAATCTATAGGATTTCCATCATGTGAAACCACTGGCATAGAATATTTGATTTTCACTAAAACAAAAACCTGGGAGGTACTTTAAAATGTTCACTTACAACACAAAGGTTTCTTTTTTTTTAATCAAATAAGTTATTTGAATTCCTCACAAACAAGTGCTATTAAACATGTCATAAAATATGATTATCTGGAATGTTATCTATTCTATTTATTTACCATAACTAGATGCACATCTTTTTAAATACATCTTCCTTTGTGCTTTCATTTGAATTAAATTACTCATTATAGACACACTACTTCTAGTGGGGCTAGACCTTCCCGTGGAAACACTTATGTATTAACTCAGTTTTATATAATAGTTTGTTATATGCATTTTATTTGTGAAAATACAGAAGCTTTGTAATTATATAACTACCTATTGTCACAACCCAAAGGGTGTGATTTTTGTTTGTGTGCGCTTCGGCACTGCTAAATTGTCCCCGCTAAATTACAGCTTCCTCGCATGGTGGAGTTTGCTGCTGCAAAAGAGAACCCCGGTGCAAGGGAGAATTTCCCGCCAATTTGAAGCTTTCTTTGCAGGGTGCATTTCTCTGCTGCAGCACAGAAATGCTCGTTGCAAAGAGTTCCCGCCATTTGTATGCTAATTCGAGTCCCATTATTGGCCAGTTCTAAATGATTCACACGTGGCGGCTAGTGATTGGCTTGCTAGCCATATAAAAGGCTTGAGTGGTTTCCGCCCAAGTTGGAGGACTCCACGAACACCGGGAGGAGGAGACTTCACGCTGTGTGAAGATCTCTAAGCGCTGCGGATCCTTACGAACCCAGTGCATTTAAAGCAGGCAACAGGGGTCTGATCAGCCTCTAGCCGCTCCCCGTCGCCGATAGATTCCTAGACGTATCCCTTCCCGCGCGCAAAAGAACTGGACCCACGGAGCCTAGCAAACTTCGTGTGACTGAGTGAGCAGAAGAACCCACAGAGCCTAGCAAACTTCGTGTGAGTTTATTCAGAGCTCTTCCGGACGAGTACTTTCTTCGGCTGACACGACGGGCTCGCGTGTTCAGAGCCTTCAGCCGGATTGGGCTAGAGTTCACGAGTCTAGAACTCTTGTCCGCCTATCTTCTTTCCTGTCTGTAACTGCAACTTAAGCAAGTTTTCAGCCTGCACCACTGCCATCTAGGTGTAAGTAAACAATCTTTTAAACTACCGCTACACGTTTGTGCCTAATTCCAGCTCGACGGCTTTCCCTCTCCGACCCGGCGTGCCCAGGCTGCTGGCCACAGCCCGCGTGCAGCGCAGAAAAGGGCTCGGGTCACTCCCGGCCCGCACACCTATAAGCTGTCATTCAATGTATTCATTTTCAACGTTCTAAATTGAGTTTCTTCTGGCTAAAACGTTCTATACTTGGTTTCAGCTTAGTAGACATATTTCAATTTGAAAGTTTGAGCAAAACCAATAGTTAATTTTGTTGAGCTGTGTGTAAGCAAACGAACACATTCCTACACAATATTATCAGAAACGCATATGCAGCTTAAAAGTTTTAACCAGTAATAGACCTGAATCCTAAGGGACTGCTGTGAAAAACATTAGTTTAAAGACTGATCTTTAGGAACAAGGTGCCCAGTGTGCAAACCAACAGTACAATCTGGCTGGATACTATTTAAGCTTTGTCAAGAATGGTAGTCAGTAGTCCATTATACTTAAACAGATTCAGATACTAAAATTTAACTTAACATCCACTTTCTCTAATTTCCAAAATATAACACAATAAGCAGTAGGGAAGTTACGCTAAATTTGAGCAACCAAGCACTCACAGGTTATTGTGGAACTTCTCCTACATCAATGGACAATATAGACACATATGTAAAAAAGACTGGTTTAGCGATTTTTTAGAATACATATTTTTGGAACTCTACTTACGCATGTTTAAACATATTTAAAACGTAACAGTTTTCATTTATAAGAATCACAACCACATTTTAGGATGCAATTTAAGAAAGATAAATTTAAGTAAGGTACTCCATCTGGGAAGGAAGAACCCCCAGCACACCTATAGATTGGGGAGTGTCCTTCTCAGCAGCTCAGAGGCAGAGAGGGATCTTGGAGTCATAATTGACTCCAAGATGAACATGAGCCGGCAGCGTAACGAGGCCATCAACAAGGCCAATCGCGCACCTTGTCGTGCATTAGCAGGTGCATGACTAATAGAACAAAGGAGGTGATGCTCCCCCTCTATGCGGCACTGGTCAGGCCACAGTTGGAGTACTGTGTCCAGTTTTGGGCGCCACACTTCAAGAGGGAAGCGGGGAATCTCGAGAGGGTCCAGAGGAGGGCCACTTGCATGATTAGTGGCCTTCATGATAGACCCTATGGGGAGAGGTTGAGAGAGCTGAATCTCTTCAGCCTTCACAAGAGACGGCTGAGGGGAGATCTTGTAGCCGCCTATAAATTTATTAGGGGAGGTCAACAGGGAATAGGGGAAGTGCTGTTTACTAAGGTACCCCAGGGAGCGACTAGGAATAACGGGTGTAAACTAGTTGAGAGTGGATTTAGGTTAGATATTAGGAAGAAATTTTTCACAGTAAGGGTGGCCAGGATCTAGAATGGGCTTCCAAGAGATGTGGTGCTATCACCTAGCTTGGAGGTCTTCAAGAGGAGGCTAGATAGTCACCTGGCTGGGGTCATCTGACCTCGGTCCTCTTTCCTGCCAGAGGCAGGGGGTCTGACACAATGATCCATTGTGGTCCCTTCCGACTCTACAATCTAGGAATCTATGAACCTATTTTATATACAAAGTAGGATTATAACTATCAAGAATAAAATCAATTTAATATCCTGTAATTAAATTTGATTCCTATTTTCCTCTGCCCTATTTCTAAAGCCCCTACAGGGATGAACTTGGCAACTAAATGATTTCCTTGAACTACTGCTATAAGCCAAATAAAATACTTAATAAAATGTTATAAAAGCTCTAGAATATATGAATATATAAACTGGAAAAGGAAAGATGGAAAAACTACTATAGTGCACATGCAGTTTTTTCAAGAGGTAAAAAACTAGCACGTGAAATTATACAAAATACTACCATCATAAGATTCCAACTTCTTTTTTTTTAATTAAATCTTCTACTTACCCAAATATTAGTATCTGGTTTCAAACAGATGGGAACGAAGTTGTAGGCAAATATTCTTGACACAAGAATCTAGGGTAGTTTTAAAAAAACCCACAATTCTTACCTCTCCATCTATTATCCCCCTGAACACAGATGGTAAAAGTGGTTGAAACATCTGAGGTCCCAACACTGGGTTTACTTTTAGGACATTTTCCACAACCTGTCAAAAATAGAACAAAGCACAAGTAAGATGCAATGAAAAACCACAACAGAAACTCCATGACTTGTATATACCATCTGATATCATTTTGATGGCAGAATTTTGGTTGCTACATAAACAGTTAAAATGCATATTTAGAATACTTTTTAGAAAAACACAAAACTGAAAATATTTTGAACGACATAAATATTCTATAAAACAGTTATATAAGGAAGCTAATATATATGTAAGTACTAAAGCTCAGATATATTTTTGGGTGTTTATCTGAAATTGAGAGAAAAATACCATATACAATTGAAGCCACAAAATAAAACTTACAAACATTATAAAGAAAAAATGTATTTGGGCGAGTCAGGTAGCAGAACAAGGTAAATTATCAGCTCCTATGCAGTGCGTTAGTTCTTTCTCCCACTGCCATAATGTCAGTAAATGTCTGAGTAGAAACACCAAAATGATCTAACAGTGGTGGCTAACTTACGTACCTCCATATGAGTTGTGAGAACCACCTATAATGCTGCCCATAAAAGTTGCTTTGTGTAACATAGGCTGTAAATCACATAGCTGAATACACTGCATTCGTTACTGATTTGCAATTCTGTTCTCCCTTCTCACCAAAAGCAAAATATTTGGACCAACAACTTTATGCTGTTGGACAGAATAAAAAAATAGTAATAGTGAAATTTAATCTAAATAATTTTGTTTTAAATCACTTAAATGATACTTTCAAGGTTGTCATTGTCATCCTTTCAAGAAGCAAATTAGTAAATCATATAGTAGAGTTTTGTAACATATATAATTTCCCTTCTACTGATCAGTCATCGGACCTTACTTTCTGCCCATTGAGGATTATAAATTTTTGTCTGTTATTGTGTAATCCATTATATATTCTGTCAAAGATGAAAATATGGCAGGAACTATTCTCAACATAAAAAGGACAAAGTAGTATTAAATCAAATGTAACAGATGTTGCAAGCCTTTTGCACACTGACATTTTCTTCATAATCCTCTCTATTTTACTAAATTTCAGAAAGCACCACTCAAACTTTGAAACAAAGTTCTCATGAACATCAATCTATTTTGTTGGAAGATGGCTGGAAGCCAATGTGGGAAATCATAAGCATGAGAGTGTTAGGTTGACAACATTTGGATCTTGGGGAGCACTGGATTTACAGCTGAAACTGGGCTTTAATCTGTGGCTTCAGCAAAGCTGCTGACCACAAGGCAGATTGACATATTAAAAGTAACATTGCAAAATACTTAGGCAAGCAGTTTCCTAACAGTGAGGTGGTGTGTAGGATATATGGTGTAAGAAGAACAAAATGTAGCCCATCAGCTATTGTCAGGAGATAAAGCAGAAGCAAGACCTTGGAGATGAAGGAGTCAGCAAGAAATGGTGATTGACCGAGAGAAGCCAGATTCATGGTCTTACGCATGTGCTCATAGCAAAAAAGGCATGTAAATGAACAAAATGCATAGGCAATTCCATACTAATGAAGTAAAAACAGTAAACAGAGGCAGAGCGTGAGATAGGAGGAGAGATGGGTGGAACAAAGGAGGGGCAAAGGTGGAGTAAATGTTAATGAGCATTATCCCAAGGTGTATAAAATGTAAAAAGAACTAATGTTCACTGCGGCTCCCCAGTTTCACAGGCTGTGCGTCTGTGAGGGAGCTAGTCTGAAGCTGTCTCCATTCTGAATAAAGCTGCTGCGAGCAATGTGTGCTGGTGTTTGCTCCCTGCTTGCTCTGGCTAATGAGTAACGGGATCCATGAGCAATTGGATAGTCATCTTCCTAGTCGTTGGGCACCGCATGGAGTCGGGGTCTAACAGAGAGAATCTAAGAAGACTTCAAGCTAAGAGTGCTTTCTGTATCAAAGAATTTGTAAGAAGGAAAGATCTCATACCTGTGTTAGAGAGAACAACTGAGATATGGCAAAATTAAGTGACCTAATTAAGATCACCCAGTGAAATTATGAGAGACCTGAAAGGAGAACCTGAGCCTCCTGAGAACCAAGATATATATGGCTGTACTACAGGGTAAATTAGTCTGTACTGAAATCAATGCTCTAGATACCACAGCTAGCTCAGTTCTCTCTACATAACACTGCAATGACTTCTGTGACTTCAGCGTAGACATATATTAGACCCACGTTATACCTGTTAGCTTTGAATTGACTATCATTTCCCAATTTACAGCATGCAATAACGCAAGAAACAGCCCCACCCTTAGACAAGTGACTTAGCTTTGTTAGTGTTCATGATTTCAGCAACTGCTGTGCAGCCAGAGAAATGTGTTAATTACCGATTAAGGCCTCACAGACCAGTGGTGGAGCCGATCAGAAAAGTTGTCAATTGCTAATTAAGGATTCACAAACCAGCAGTGGAGCTGACCAGAAGTTTGTTAATTGATACTTAAGGACTTTGGATAATAGAACCCATGGCTGAATGAAGGAGGCTCCCCCCTGGAAGGGGAACTGGAGCGTTGGCTGAAAGTAAGCCAGAGCAATAGGGCAGTTTCGTGCATGGAGGCACAGACACGAGAGAGGGGTAGTTTCCCTCAGGGACAGCAGATAGAGGTGTTTTCGGGATGGCATGAGTGAAGCCAGCATGGCTCTCTCTGGGACAGGTACACAATGTTACTTAGAGACTTTGAATCAGTCAGCCAGGGACCAGATGTATATGTAACATCCTGAGTAACTGTATCTTACTATTAGAATCCTGTTCATCCCAGACAGGGGTGAGGTAAAAGAGGATTACAAGCCGCGGTACGCGGCATTGGCCGCAAGCAGCCATCTATCCGCAGTAGAGGGCGGGAAGAGCTGCAGTTTGTGTCTCCTGGATATTAGGAAGTGTGACCGAGCTTGCATAAACACATTATACCAGCGGGAGCCTGAACCCATATCAGCTGCAGGAGACAGCAGCAGTACGGGGAGTGGCATGTTGTAGTACTTATTAAAACTGGAAGCTTTACACCTGTGTATTTTACATTTTTTACTCGCATCAAGTCGTGGCAGGAGAGAATGAGCAGAGGCACGGGGGGCAGGGCCAAACATGTCTCTTTGATCAATCCAGGAATCTTGCTCACAAATAATTACCACTAAAAAATTCCCATTTCCTAAGAATTACCACATTGTTATCTAATATACCACACTTTCTTGCATACAACACACATTTCCCCCCAAAACTAACCAATCAAAACTGGGGTGCATGTATTAAGTGGGAAAGCTGTTCTCTACACTAGAAAAGAAGCATGCCCAGACAGACTAAGCATGTTATGCAGCTGCTCAAACAGTTGCTGCTTGTCTGGTTCAGCAAGCTGGCAGAGTGGAGCCCTTGGTTAACCCTCTAACAAACAGAGCTAATGTCTGATCACTGTAGCTTGTGCCCAAAACAGCAAGTGAACTGACTGTAGTATTTTGATGATGCCTGTGATGTGGAAACAACACTTTAATCACAAGAACTTAAGTAAAGAACTATTTACAGTAAAGAACTAGCAGCCACATCAGGAAGTTCCCGCTCCCTACTGCCTCACTCAGACTCTCTCCTGGGATGCCACATTTCCTAAACACACTGTTTTCAGGACTTATTCTAAGGAAGCACACACACATTCAAATAATTTGGGAGAATTCTCCCAGGTTTGTTCTGATAGAAAAACTTACCTAAAGCTGTATGTACAGACATTCAATTACTGAGGCCCTGAAAAGTGGAGTTTGCAGTGCTGACACTGTCCAGCCAAAGGGGTCCTTGTATACTCATCTCAGCATGTGCTGCAGGCTCCCTTAGTCTGCTTGATGCCAGATGGCAGCAGTGCATAGGGCAGCCCTGACTGGCTGACCCAGACAGCTTATGGTCAGTCTGTTTCCCTGCAACAATGTGGGGATTGTGAAGGGGGCAGATTCTACTCTCACTGTCTCCCTAGTTGGGGGCAGGGGGAGATCCTGAAGCACTAAGTTGGGATCCACTTGACAAACAGAGGAA